TGGTGCTCAAAGGCCGCCTTCGAGCCCGATATCTTGGGCAGTAGCGAGAATGGAGACTTGTTTTCCCATAGTGAATCGACTGGACGAGCTGAACAGGTATGGTGAGACGACAAAAAAAAGACAGGTGTGAGCGTCGTACAGGATGCGTTCGGCTGAGCAGCCTGCTGCTGTTGCTGCGGCCTGTATTCTTGATGTGGAGGGGAGGACTCCCGGGGTTTTGCACGACTTAGTCCGACGAGGGGACCGTCTGTAGGCAAAGCTTGGTGCGAAAAGTCGAAGTCTTTGCCTACGCGCGCCATAGGGTCATCACACAGACTAATGTACAAAGAAAGACCTGTACGTACCGACCTCGCCCACACCGAAAGTCTCGTCGTTTAACTCATCTCCGCCTTCCTGCAACGCATCTCCAAGGCCGTCGTAGCTTTCTTCACCCCAGGTGTAGACAGCTACGTCGCCCTGTTGGGCCGCTTGCCCGCCGCTCTCGAGAAACCTGCGTTTCTCGTCTTCCAAACTGTTTGGTTGGTCGAATCCAAAGAAAGACATCTACGTGTCATGAAGCTAGGTGGTAGATATTGCGAGAAAGCAGTCGGCCGCCGCCGTGCATACACAGGACAACTGCGGCAGAGTCAAAGCGGACCCGCAATCAATCCTCACATCAAGATTTCTAAATCGGGTAACTACGCAAGGACACGAACGTCACACGAAAGAACCTGCGTTGACGAGATTTCGCACTCTCTGTAGCAGATAGCTCTAAATTTCAAGCAGTGGAATGGGTAGACATATTTTAGGTTATTTTCAATATCGATCATAGTCACAACAGCAACGGCAATAGAACATTTTCTAGGTAGTATGGAAACAACTTCAAGTCAACACTGCCGAAGGATAATGAAGAGGGAAAACGATGTCGTGGATAATAGAAAAAGAAGCATGGTATAGAGCAATGTAGTGTCTTATTAGAAGGCCCAAACCTTCGAAGATCAACTGAACTGCAGGAAGAGAAATTTATACATGTACTGCATATCTATGCTGCATGCCTGAGTATGAGCACGTTACGCGCAAGAAGCACGTTCAGCTGCCAGTGGTTGTCGCTATGCCTCGGGCCCTCTGACCGCGGGACTGCCACAGACACTGTGGCAGGTACGGACATGGCGTATAGCATTATAAGATGCATACAATTTGGAACGATTTATGTCTTCGCTGCGAACCAATGAGGCAAAGGCAGGGACCACACTGAGAGCGCCGGCTAGTAGCAGCGCAGCTGACTCAGAGTCACTGGCAATACTTGTCTGCTCAAACTATCAATCACCAAGAACACTGTCAATATGAAGTGACCAACACAGGCGAATAGTGAACAAACCGTTGCGCTTAGCCCATGTGCAAGAAATGGAGAGTGCCAGTGAGACTCGAAGCCGACGACTGTGGTGTGGCGTGGGAACAATATTGATAACTGCTTCTCACCCGACGCTGTTCCTCTGAAGCGTACACGACGCCCGAAACACTCCCAATGCTACAATTGAATGATATTTCTAATACCGTACAGAGGGCGTGCTACTGTTCTCGTACAGAATCCTACCCGTCCCGTTCTGCAAAGATTGTTCGTGCGTGTGCAAATGGTCTAGACTTTCAACTTGTGAACTTCCTCAAGGAAGTCGAGAAGGCAGCTCGCGCTCCACGCCTGCGTCTTACACGAGTCCGAACAATACGAGCCATCCTTGTTCGTGAGCTCGGGAATACCGCGCCATGGGTCATCGCGGATGTGACGGCGTGCCGGCAGGAGCAACTTGTGCAAGTAATGCAGCGTCTGCGACGGGTCTTCTCTACCTGCGCCGACCTTGATGTCGAAGTACAGGTACGCACGCAGGAAGTATCCCAGAGGCCAGCCCCATTCGGGACCACAGTGATAGTTGCGACCCTTGGCAATCGCAGGATCGTCGGAGTCATTCGAGTTATCATAGTACGGTCTGTACTGGAAGTCGCTCGGGTCAAGCGTCTTCATGCCCAGAGGGGCGCGAAGGACCTTGTCGGCGATCTTCAAGGCACCCAGGGCATGGTCGGGATTGAAAAGCTCCGGAGCGACGGTCATGGCGATAGGGAAGTTGCAGCGCAGCTGATAATCGGACCACTCCCTGCCAGGACCAGAACCGTAGACATCCTTATAGATACCACGACGGTTGACCAGATCCGACCTGACATCGTACCTCGCATCGTCCTCGGGATCTGCATGATTCATCAGAGACTGCAATCAGGCGACAATAAGAAACCAGCTCACTAGGAGGCACGTAGTAACACTTTTCGAATGACTCTTGAAGCAAGGTTCCCCACTCCCTATACGTCACCAGACGGCGCTCGCCATCAACTGCTCGGCACGTCAGCTTAGCGCGTATGCATGCTATTGGTCTGACTCACTTTCAGCCTCAATGCCCTGGAAGGGGAACTTGCCCCGGCTCGACAGCTCGTCCAACCAGCGCAGAGTGCTCTTGAGGAGACCGGTGATTTCGACCGGAGCACCATCACGAGGCGTACCAGGGACACCCTTAGTGCCAGCCTTCTCTGACTCGCCCATCTTGTCCATCCAAGTTCCGCAGTTGTGCGCATTGCCGCCGAGGATGATGCCAGTCTTCCAGTCGACCTCGACATCGATGTCGAAGCCGGGGTCGCTCATCTGAGAATCGAGGTTCGGGCCGGCGTTGTACTCACGGAAGTGGATCCCATCCGCGTGGCGCTGGAGAATCTCTTGGATGATCTCCGCGAGCGTGCTAGACTCTGAGTACGCACGAGGGTCGTCCCAGGGGACCCAGGTGTCATCCTTAGGGAAGCGCCGTTTAATGGTCTCATTCAGGATAGCGAGGCCGTCAGGAGCGCTGAGAGCGTAGTCCTGAATATTCTGCAGCATCCACCATGGTGAATCGCGGGAGTTGTACCTGGGCGTCTTCAAGGAGTCGAGGAGGTTGGGGACCAGGCCGTGCTTCAAAACGGACGCGAACGCAATAATATGCCTCTTTGCAGCCAAGAACTGACCAGTCGTAAGGAACAGTCCTCGCAGGGAGATGAAGACATCACGACCCCAACACCTCGCCCAGCCGGAAGCAAAGTGCGGAAGGCCCGCGGCCAAAGAGGGAGTCGGCTTGGCAGGGTCCAGAGAAGCGGACTGGACCTGGCCGTACAGCTGAACGGACACCAGCGCAAGGTCATGAGTGAAGACGTGACCCTCCGTGACGAACTCCGCCATCTGTTCGACTGCACTACGGCGAGCGGCCTTATACGCCTCGGAGATGATGATCGCGAAGTACTTAGGGCGGAGGAATGGTGGAACGCCCTGCTTGACGCGTTCACACCTTTCCTTGAGCCACTTCACTGGCTTGGAAAGGTTGGGAAAGGTACTGCTTTGCCTACTCATAGCGTGAGTCGGACGAACCGCGTGGCATGTCATCAATACTCACTTCTCAATCCTGGTCCAAATGTAGTCAAATGCCCAAGTGCCTGCGCGAAGGTGATCAGCGAGGGGGTGGCCGAGGTCGTTGTAAAGAATCATGTGCCGAAGCGGGTTCATAAAGCCTTCAAGTCCGCAATAGACAAGGCTGCCCATGCCGGGGATGTTGTACGTGCCAATGTCGCCACCGGTCGAGTCGCGTTCTTCTCCGTCTGCGCGATGGAGTACGACGTTCAGATCGACGAGGTTGAGCTCAGCGAAAGCATCATCAGCGCCTGATATGCAGAACTCGTCCAAGTTTGAGTCAAGGCCAACGAGCTGTGTCTCGAAGAGCATGATACTGCTGGGAGGGAAGAACTCAGGAACGATGATCTCCCCATACGGCCCTTCTTCGTCAAGTCCCTGAGGGACGACGACTGGTGCCATCTCGACCAAGTTGCCATCCATGCCGCGGAGCAGGGTTTCGTTATCACGAGAATCGTAGGAGGAGAACTCAAGGTGAGCACCGTAGATGAACTTAGCACGCGATCTGCGGAGCTTGAAGGGTGAAACTGTGCCTCGCTTCAGTGACGAGAGGTCAGCAGAAGGGCAGTATGAATGCTCACTATTGCCGCGGTCCTTGCTACCTTTCTGGAAGGCGGTATGCGCAACAAGCAAGTAGCCTTTCTGCGACGTCGGCTCAACGCGGTGCATGACGATGTACTAAACGTAACGAGCTCAACGTGAGTACGGTGAGTCTCGCGATGAAGAGTAGACATCTTACGCCGTTCTCCTCGTGAACGTGTCCTTCCTGGAACCCTCCGATTGCCATCTCCGTGTGCAGGTTGTTCAAGATATGCTTCATCTTGCCGATACCACTGTTCTCTCCGAGCCGAGTGACCTCATACTGCCTCGTCTCCTTGACAATATTGATATATTTGGGGTAAAGGTCGTCAAAACCCTTCACAGATCCAATGGCGCACCAGCAGAACGTTATCAGAGCTGCGGTGGAGAGTGCGTCCTCGGCAGAGCGCTTGTCGAGGTACGACTCGTTGTCGTGGGTGAGATCGTAGCACAGCGCATGGGGCACAGAGCCAATGTGAGGGATAACGATACATGGACGCGTAGGGCCCTTGCCGGTCGGTGGCTGAAGCTCTTCCTTGCTTATGAGGCAGGCGGCATCCACAGAGCCTAGACAGCATTTTCAGCATGTCGTCGCAGAAACGAGAAAAGGCAATTTACCGATAGGTTTGCCGAGACCATGACGGTACAACAAGCCGGACAGCTGCTTAGAGTCCGAGACGTTCGCCGCCTCACGAATGAGACTGTTGAGACCCAGCCTACTGACGAACAAAATATCCGCCTCTGCACTACCTGTGAAGAGCTCGGCACAGATATAGAGATCAGGGTTGGCAACACGCGCAGCGTCCATGAGGTGGACACCAACGTGTAGCGGAGTCGAGTGGCAGTTGTCGATCCGGAAGCCCTCGAAGGTCTGGGCGAGCGACACGACATAGTCCGTCATGTGCTGCCACAGCCATGGGTTCGACGATGGCCCGTCACCGTAGCGCAATTTGACACAATCTCCCCAGGCGATGACTTCTCGGCGGATGTAGGACTTAGAGGGCGCTACCGCGAAGTTCTTGAGAGGGTCGGTATTCCACATCCAGCCGTTGTGAACCAGCGCGAACTTCTCTGGGTCTTCTTCGTACTTGTCGGGAACACGGGTAAAGTACGACTCGACGATCGGCTCCCTGTACAGCGTAGAGTGAGAACGGCGTCGACAATCAGAGACGACCAGAGACGATCCACTCACTCTTTGGTAATTGGCCCTAGCTGGGGACCGTGCGGATCCGCCCTCGTGTACTTGAGGCGGTTCTTCATGTTATCCATAGCCGCCTTCGTGTCGTTCTTCCAGATCTCGTAGAGGGGAACGTTGAGCACGTCAACGATGCGTACCCATGCATCGGCAAGAGCTTCGACGTCCTCAAGGTCGGCGAAGGCGCTCTTTACGATCGAAGTAGAGAGCTCGGGGTCGACTTTCTGGCCCCCTCGCTTTTGAGGAAGACCGAGACCGATAAGCCTGCCTGAGTAACGAGCTACTTCTGCAAGCTCCTTAAGGTCTTTATGCTTGATGTCCTTTGGCCATGGCTTGACGTTGCCCTTCTCGAGAGCACCTTTCACGCGTTCGCGCTCGGCCTCAACGTCGAAGACGTAAAACTGCCAGAGATTTCGCTGCTCGAGGTACTTCTCGAACGCTGAGATCAGAGTATCTACGTCGCCCTCAGATTTCACTTCGGTCGGCAGGCCGAGCTCTGCGAGAGTAGCAGAGAATTCGATCATGGCGTTATCGAGCTCGAGGGCAATCGTCAAGTGCGGCGTGTTGGCGGGACTGAAACCTGAGAGACAGATGTTTTGTTAAGCTGTAGCATACACGTTGTATGCGACCGCTCACCTGCTTCGGGGTGTTCGGCAAGCCATGGGGTGTTGTTCGCGGTGTGGTTGAGAACGACATCGGTCAAACTGAGGAGGCCGAACTCCTCGCGACTCATCTTGAGAATCTCCTCGAACTTGGCTTTGCCGCCGTCCTTGTCAAGAGCAGTCTTATCCTCTACAGAGTCCGCGAACATCCGAGGATCGTACTTCAGCTGATCCTGAATCGAATACGGGCTGTTACTATCTCCGCGATGCTGAAGGGGAGGGTAATGGATCATGTTATAACCCCGCTCGCTCGCCTCGGCAAGGAACTCCCGCCAGTTGGCCAGCGGGCCCATCCACTTGTTGACGTAAGTCAGAATGGAGAGACCGTCTAAGGGGATGTTGACGTAGTCGGACTGTACAGCACCGGCGTTCTCAGCAATCGAAGGACCTGCACCGACCACGGGAGCGCGGGCCTTGGTTCGGAGAATGGGATCGATATTAAAGTACCCTTCTCGGCCCTTTATCCTGGTTCCACCCTCTCCGTCGTACTCTATCCAGTAGCAAAACGCGCCAGCGTGCGAGATCGGAAGGTCGATCTGGATAGGCTTGGAGAAATCGGTGGGCAGCCTATAATCGGGTGGTCAGCTGAAGAAGAAGCAATCTACAGACAATAAGACGCGACTGACGTGCGTTCGCAGAAACGCGTCCTGTTGAAACGTCCGCCATCAAGGGGAAAGTTCGTCTTAAACACGCCATTCTTCGAAGCTGGCGTACCGGCCTCAAGCGATACTCGCAGGATGTAGGGGTTGTACGCCGGAGGGAGACGAATGTACTACACAAATCGTTAGCAGGGGTGTCATGACTAACACGAGGTCGCGGGCGCGTATAGGACGCATGCTATCCAGTCTTCAGCGATCTGCGTTCGAAGACGGATAATGTCGGTGCCTCAGAGCCCGCACAGCTGCCGAAGCTGTCCCGAGGACGGGGGCTCGACTGCGATACTATCTCTGCGATGGATGACGCGTCTGGTGAGTAGGCGGGGGAGAGACAGTACGCAACTTGTTTCTCCTTGTTGGGGCCGCCGTCGGGATCGAGCGCGAGCTCATAGACACGAATCGGCTGATCCTTCTTGAAGCCAGATTCGAAAAATTCGATGGCTTCATCGGCTGGTGTCCGCGGTGCAGGAGTCTTTGGATACCTGGTGGGCGACGACGAGCGGTGCTGGTCGAAGCTGCTCGTCTTTGGGATGTCGATGGTCTGCATCAGCTTGCGGGACTTTGTCGCCATCGCTGCTGACGTCGACGGAAGGTGATGGGGGCGAGGAAAGAAAGTTGTCAGGAAGGTCGTCGAATGTTGGAAAGGGTTATATACCCACCGGACCTGGACGCGGATTGACGGGCGCACCGTGACCGGTGGACGGTCGTTCACTTTAGAAGGACGTGTACCTTGACGTCACTCCACTTTTGCCATCGCATCGATTGGACCATCGCGATTCGGCACTTGCCGCACTCTACTCATATAGGCGTCTAGCCACTCGCATGCTGGGAGAGTGCACTCATTGCATACAGTACAATTACAGGGAAACATCGTCAAGACAAATCTACATGTTCCCCAGCCGGTAGATTAGAGAATGATGCAAAGAAGATGGAAATGTTACAAGTGCACACCAAAGGACAGAGCGAGAAAGGACAACGCAGATGAGACTTAGACCTCCTGTGAGGCACCCTCCTTCTTGCTGCCCTTGCTCGACTTTGACGGCAGCAGAGCAGGGTCGATGTGGGGTACAACACCACCCTGGCTGATGACAACGTCACCGAGGAGCTTGTTCAACCTGTGGCCACGGTTAGCACACGTCTAACGTGTAGCCATTCGAGTTACGCACTCTTCGTCATTACGTATAGCGAGCTGAAGGTGACGAGGGACGATACGCTGCTTTTTGTTATCGCGGGCGGCGTTACCAGCAAGCTCAAGGATCTCAGCGGCGAGATATTCGAGGACAGCGGCGAGGTAGACTGTATGCAGCATCTTAGAATACCCTCACCCTTTGAAGTCATGTACCACGCACCGGGAGCACCCGCACCAACACGCTGGGCGTAATTGCCCTTCTTCAAGAGACGATGAACACGGCCAACAGGAAATTGAAGGCCAGCCTTTGCAGAGCGGGACTGCGACTTGCTGGATTCACCGCCAGCCTTGCCTGTGGAAGATTTGCCACTATAATCCAAAAACAGTCGCTATTGAGTGAAACTGGCGAGACGCGTGCAAGGATAGTGTCCTTACGCCTTCCCCTTGCCAGACTGCGAAATACGTCAGTTTCAAGCGCATTTTCTTTGAGCACTGGGTGCACGCGTACCATACTTGACTTTGAGTGTGGTTGTGGGGGGTGTAGGAGCGAAGGTAGGTGGTGGCTAGTGGTAGAAAGCTGAGGTTGGCCAATGCGTACGCGCTGAAGCCTTTTAAAGCGCGTTGACATTTCAAACTCCGCCGAGCAGACGCACTTTCACGTGACTCAACGCGGGCTCGTGACCCGTGCGACATTTGTCCGACTTTGGCAAGTCTCGTTGTTTGTCCTTTCCTTTGCCAAAACATGTAGGTATGCACATGAAAGCTGGAAAGTTATCTAGTCGTCGTTCATGTCTGTTTCTAATAAGGCAGCTATAACGGACAGGTACGATATTTGCTGCGCCCCACTCATGCTGATTGGACGGCTCCATCATGAAGACAACTCGCCATCTCTTCTTCTCGGTTCCGAGCGCGTCTGCTTGTTCCCGCTCAATCGCTACAAGCCCACGAATGTCCCACGCTGAGGAAAAGAAAGTGGCACACGTGATAAACGTGTTGGATCTTCTCCGCCACGAGACGCCTGCGGGATGAAATATTGCTCTGGCTTAAGATCTCGCTACAGGCGGTGCTTTTGCCTCGAGGCCTTCATACCCCTCATATCGTGTCTAACTTTGTCCTGCTCTACCACGCTGCCTTCCTGCGAAAACACACCCCAGCCTCGCCGTTGCATGTATCTCGGTTTCTCGTGGCTGAACACTAGAAAACTACGCAGCTAGCCGGAACTCATGTCTTCACCCCACTACATTCCCCGACCCCCAGTTGCTTCCCCAGTACCAACAATGCCGCCAACTCCCCCACTCACGCCGACCCACGACCAAGTACGTGTGTTAGCCATGTGCTGCTCGCCGCGTACTGACCAAGCGCTACTCTAGGTTCCGACGCTTTATGTCGTACGTCCCATCACTATTGCTCCACAAAGGTGGGAAGCTCACCGAGCCCAGATTGTAGTTTACACTGTTGTAATATTCGCCCTCTGGAACATACCCGGCGCACGGGTGCTCATCAACCCTCTCAAGCTCTTCACTATCGGCTGGCACGAGCTCTGCCACATAACAGCTGTGCGTCTGCAAACCGTCCGAATGTTGCCCGAGCTGACTATATGCTAGGCAATATTTACCGGTGGGACTATAGTACGGGTATGCATCGACCCCGACCTTGGCGGGGCGACAATAGTGGAAGGCGGTGCGCCTACACTTGTCCTGTCGGCCGGGTATATCGGATCCACCATGTTCGGAGGCGTGTTGATCTTGGCGGGGTTTGATACCCTTGTGGCAAAGATCATGAGTTTCATTATCGGAATCGGGCTGTTGTGTCCTTTGGTGCTTGTACGAGACAAGCTGTAAGTCCTCATTATTATCTTTGAGCATATGCTGATCGTCTTCCAGAACGATAATAACGACCTTGATGTACGAAGGTTTGCTAGTTGGGTTTTGGTTCATTGATCACGCGTGCGTATGCTTACTGTCCCCGAAGGCTTTGACTAATTGCCGGCAAGAGCAGACAGGCATTGCGTTGGTATTGTCTATTCCTAGGAGTTATGAAGTATGTCTTCTTCCCTCGCGTTGTACCTTGCCCTTTGGCTGACCTGGCAATGGCAGTACACTATACGTAATATGGGACATCGCGGACGACAAGTACTTCCGGAAAGCAAATGACTCCGATGCGACCCAGTTTTCATTACTTTATCCGAGCCTTGGACCTCATGGTAGGTGTTGTATCTATTCGATGCGAAATTATCCTCACTGTGGGTGCACAGTCTGGGGTCTCCTGTGGATAATCTTCGAGATTGCGATCCTCACAGGATTTGTCCTGCTTGGTGTCGTGTGTTTCAAGATGGACTCGGACCAGATGCGCGCACAGGCTGGTGAGTCGGCATGCCGCTATCTGATCGCTAAACCCTGACATGAGGATTCGAACAGCGGAATTCCTCCCGACATGATCTTCGCTGCCTGGCCCTAGTTGTCGCGCTGCATTACGATTGAACGGACATAGTCCTCGCAATCTGTACCGGGGACGGGACGATCGTCGATCCCGTTTAGTGTATAATTATCGCGTACGGGTGCTGCGATACCCACATTGCTGTCTTCTGTGCCTACTTTATACCTTATGTCGCGGACGCTCTCATGGAGTACATGCACACCTGTAGTGTTCCGCTCGCAGTCCGGGTGATCACCCCGAAAATACCGGCGGTACCTTACTCTGCTTCTTCCATCATCGTACTCCCACACCAGTTCATCGAAAACGGTCATGTTCAACATTTACTGTATGTAGCCTGGGCGCGTGAAGCCAGCTTATCGCGTGTTTACAGAAGCCCGAGTTGGATTTTGCACGCGACTTGCACCATCGCGAAATGCGTACGTATCTTCGCACGCATTATTGCGCATTGCGCATGACGAAGCGTGTACTCCAGACCGCCCAAAGTGCGGTCCCATGGGATTTCAGGACTATGGGAAACGCATATATATACCATTCTTCGTAATCGAACCGTTCCAACCATGTCCAAGTCGCCTGCGATGTACCCACTCGAGAAGGACGGCCTCCTCCCCGCGCCTGCGCCCGTTCGCCAGGCTTCGCGGCTTGCTCTCAGCAAGAGCTTCTGTTTCCTCCTGGCTACTGTCTGCGCGGGCATCGCGCTCTACATACTCGGTCCACAATGTCTATCGAGGCAGTTTGTTGCGTCTTATGGCGAGGTTACGCTGAAAGAGGTACTCTGCCCTCAAGAGAGTCCGCTTGTTCCTTCGGAGAGCGGCGAACTCTGGAAGGAGCTCAGTGAGACATACGGAACCAAGGAGTTCTTTCTCCAGGCGGTTGAGTTGCTTGTCGGAGCAGTCAAGGTCCCGTGCGTGTCGCTTCCAATCTGCACTACGCAAACGCTCACGGCCATACAGGACGGAAAGCTTTGACAAGATGGCTCCAGTCGGCCAGGACCCGCGCTGGGAGGTGTTCGCGCCATTCCATGATTACTTGCTGGTCACGTTCCCGAACGTGCACGCGACGCTAAAGCTCACGAAGGTGAACACCTACGGCCTAGTATACGTGTGGGAGGGCCTAGACGCGTCGTTGAAACCACTCCTGCTGACGGCGCATCAAGACGTTGTCCCCGTTAACCCGGAGACCGTTGCCGAGTGGGTACATCCGCCCTTCTCGGGCTATTTTGATGGCGAACGCATATGGGGACGTGGTTCGTTCGACGATAAAAGTGTTCTCATTAGTATTATGTGAGTAGATATGTTCTATTCAGGACTCTATAGTTAATTAACACTGTATGCAGGACTACCGTCGAGACATTGATCGAGAAGGACTTCAAGCCTGCGCGCACGGTGTTCCTCGCATTCGGCTTCGACGAGGAGACCGATGGATTGCATGGAGCGTCAGCGATCAGCAAGTACCTGCTGGAGACGTACGGCGAGAACGCGTTCTCGATGCTTGTCGATGAGGGCGGCCTTTATGGCGTCGAGTACGGTCAAGCGTACGCGACGGTAGGCACGACAGAGAAGGGGGCTGTGGATGTACGCGTCGAAGTCGCGTCTCCGGGCGGACATTCGAGCATACCGCCGGCGCACACTAGCATCGGCATTCTCTCGCAACTGCTTGTGCACATCGAATCGCAACCGTATAAGGCGGAACTGAAGCGTGGGACGCCAATGTACCAGATGGCGCAGTGCCTGGCGGCACACGCGCCCGAGCTTCCAAGCAAGGTGCGCAAGGCTATTGAAAAGGCGGACAAATCGGACAAGGCCTTGAAGGCGGCCGAGAAGGCACTATTCACGGACATCCGCTTCAAGGCGCTCGCGGGCACGACGCAGGCGGTCGACCTGGTGCAAGGCGGCGTGAAGGCAAACGCGCTGCCCGAGAACGCTTGGGCGGTCGTGAACCACCGGATCGCGACAGACAGCTCCGTGGGCGCGACACAGGAGCACGACACGAAGCTGCTGCTGCACCTCGCGCGGCAGTTCAACCTGTCCTACTCTGCTTTCGGGCAGCAGATCGGGGATGCAGACGCGCCGGCATACGGTACGCTGACGTTAAGCGACGCGTGGAACACGGCGCTGGAACCTGCGCCAGTTACTCCGTCGGCAGGTGGAGATGCGGGGGCCTTCAGGCTACTCGCGGGGACGATCAAGACGGTGTATCAAGTACACAGGAATGTCACTGATGGGGAGACGGTTATTGTCAGCCCTGGGATTATGTCTGGCAACACGGGTGAGCCTTGCGAGAAAAACAGGAGGTTTTTTTATTTTATTTACTAAAGCATGTCAACAGACACTCGTTACTACTGGCAGCTTACAAAAAATATATTCCGTTACAGCCACTGGTGGACAGGGACCGAGAGCGGGCTCATGGGTGGCACGCACTCGGTCAACGAATGTGAGTCTTGGGCACAGCGACTGTCGTTAGCGTGGGCTGAATTTTTTGCAGTCATCTTCGCGGACGGGTTCCTGGAGATGATCCGGTTCTATACCGCTCTTGTTCTCAATGCGGACGAGTCACAGTCGATATAGTCACTGGAATGAGAAAGAAATGATCGTTGCGAACTATGTAAGGCGAGAGGTGACCAATCCTGGATGAACGCTACTATGAGACTAGGCTCGATACCAGTCACCTTGCACGACTACCGATCACCATTCCACCCTCGGTATACGCCCCTACCAACTACCGAGTAGACTGGTAACGAATCTACTGTGAGATATAAACGCATTCGATAGAAAACAATTCAAGGTGCATCGCTATCAGTGCTGAATCGGCTAGGAAAATGTTAGAGTTTTACGTGCTACAGTTCGTGGCACGAGTTGCAAACTGGAGTGTAACGGCATTACGCTACATTAGCTACGACGTAGACTAGCACTTGCCACTGTAAAGAGACAGCTTTGCATGTACATTTCATGCGGCATTCAGGCAAAGAACCGGACATACTTTCTCACTCCTGGTCGAACCGTACACCAGCTTACAGCTAGAGCGGAACGCCGCGTATTTAGATCAGACTCTCAAAGATTAGACTTACGGACATCGGGATGCTATGTCCGCGGGCTAAGTCTCGCTCACCTCGGCGCAGAATCCTGGGCACAGCCTGTGTGACATGCGATGCGCAGTAGACAGAGTTGAAACCTCAGGTAATAGAGTGCAGTGCTCTCCGCTTCGTCGCTGCAAGAGCTACCGCAAAGTTCAGGGAATCCACTGCGGAGCCTGAGGTCGAATTAGACGAGTGTCGCGTATCGAAAAATTGCTGGCAGAATGTGTAGCGGAAATTATATAGGAGGCCTTGGCTGTTGAGGCGCACGGATTGAGAGGACCAATTGCAATAATTCAAGGCGCGTGACTGGCCGTCCTGGTGACATGCTGTAACCAGCAGTGTGACTGTGACGGCGGAAGCGCGCATTAGGCGGGTCGAGGCTAATTGCCCGCTGGTTGCTGCTCATCACCACTCTCGTCGTCGTCGACGCTTTTACCGACGCTGACAGACTCATCTATCCATTCTGAGCCGCCCTGGCGACTCGAGTTATCTCAGAGACGCCGCCATGAACGACCCAGTGGACCAGGGCAGGCAAGAGATGTACTCCGTCGGCTCTCCTTCTAGTCAATCAGCGTTGGCCTACATGAGCGAAGGCCCCGACGGCTACCATATTAATCCTCAATCATCCGGTGTACCAAAGAACGGACCCATGTCGGCCCCGTCTGTGAACGGAAACCATACTCTTGAACGACCACATTTTCCGACCCGAGCGTCCACCGTGAGCTCGCCTCACGGCCTGGATCACAAGAAACCCAAGTCGGTAGACCAACCCCACGCCCGCAGTGAGGATCTGAATCACTCGACCGCCAGCAGCAGCAACGAGCTCTACGCCACCGAACGTTCGTACTCGAAGCAGGGCTTCCTCAGTGCGAGCAGACCCTCCACCCCAGCGGGGTCTAACAACCACAACAATGCATCTTCCTCCGACCACTCTGACTCCCATACACGTCGTCCCCCAAGCGTAGCCTCTAACCGATCTGGCCAATCAGAGTCGCCGCTCAATGGTACCGATGTGACCAACGCCGCAACGTCCACGAATCATAGCATGACCAGCACGAATATGGCTTCTTCGTAAGTATACTCCTCCCTTTTTCTCCCATCTAATATTGGACTCCGGGTTTACAAACGGCACGCATTTGGTGACTGGCGACTGACGGACCGTTTCTACCCAGAACATGCACAGCTTGTGGAAAGACGATGGCTGGAGCATTTGTCCGTGCCCTAGGAGCAGTCTACCATCTGAATTGCTTCATGTGCATGGTGAGTAAGGTTGATCCGTTGTAATTGTCATGAACTCATCCGTCTTCAGGACTGCGGCGCCGTCGTTGCGTCTAAATTCTTCCCAATCGATGGTCCTGATGGTAAACAGCATCCACTGTGCGAGCGGGACTACTTTCGCCGGCTCAACTTGATTTGCGCGAAGTGTGGGCAGGCCCTTCGAGGAAGCTACATCACTGCGTGCAGTGCGTATATTCGCTTCCTTGGTAGTCTTTGTCCTGTAACGCCTCATTGCCTCTAGACAAGAAGTTTCATGTGGACCATTTCACGTGCTCAGTTTGTCCCACCCTCTTCGGCCCGCAAGACTCGTACTACGAACACGAAGGCGACGTCTACTGTCATTATCACTACTCCACTCGCTTCGCTACGAAGTGCGCTGGTTGCAACACCGCTATTTTGAAACAGTTCGTCGAGATTAATCGGAACATGCGTGACGAATGTTGGCATCCAGAGTGTTATATGATTAATAAGGTGAGCATAGTTCCACCTCTGAGCAATCGAATCTGACGCCAATGCTTTGACAGTTCTGGAACGTAAAAGTCAGCGTCCGACGACCAAATAGCCTTCTACCGTCGACGGAGAGTGTCGACCAGCCGCCTCCCGAACAGCCATGGATAGAGGAAGAGAAGAGGGAAACGGCAACCTCGCTCAAGGACAAGCAGATCCGGATGGAACAGCAAGTTTATCGGATATGGACGTGAGTGGTCCCTCGGTGCAAATTTTCTCGTCTGACGTGATACGTTTCAAGGGTGCTGTCAGCTTTTGAGGAGTCTAGTGCTGCGTGCATATCGGACATGCTGCGACAAGTCAGCAACGGACAATATCTGGAAGCGATCCGGATGGCGGAGAGGTTTATTCTTCATGTCGAAGTGTTGTTCGCAACGATAGACGATTTGGAATACCAATTCACCCGCCTTAACCTGAAAGGTTTGTGCTCTACTTCTAACTGACACAATTGAATGCTCAGGATGATTTCATCAGGCATGTCACATGTCCGCGAGGCGCGTATGCTCTGTCGAAAAACGGTGGACCTCTTCACCTTACTCTCCCATACGCAAGAGACTGGCGCTCGGCGGATGGGCATGACACAAGAGCTCCTCGCTCTTGTGACAGGACTGGCGCATTACCTCAAGATCCTCATTCGGATTGCTTTGACGGGCGCATTAAAGCTGGAGCGGGAGCAAGACGTCCGTGAGGCGCTAGGCTCGTTCTTGGACAAGCTCCACATGCTCGCCATCCAGGGTGGAAATCCATCAGCAAAACGGATGATGAAGCGGGCTAATGGCGAAGTCCTCTCTCCTGGCGACGCGGGCAACGTCGGAACGCAAGGAGTTACTTATGGGTTCAAGAGCTTGGCTCCCGAGAACGCAGGCGAATCGCCATTTGCTGTCGGCCCCCGAGATCATGCTTTGGTGAAGGTTGCTGTCGTCAATCCTCCTTCAGATCTCTGTGTCAAGTGCAACCAAACTGTGGAGGAAGATTGTGCGAGACTAGGCACGTTCCAGCGCTGGCATTCTCACTGTTTGCAATGTGCGACATGTGGGAAAGCCGCGGCGATGCCGACGCCGAAGGAGAACGCTCCGAAGCCTATTACGGATGGTGCCAACCTCGACGACCGGGAGAAAGAGAAGGCCGAAGGCAGCACTGCTCCGAAGCTGTCTTCCGCTCGACGTCCGCCCGCGAACGTCAGGGCGTTCGTGTATGATTCGGACTCAATGAAGGACACTCAGCAATTCGGACCCGTGCCAACCGTCATCTTCTGCACTGACCACGCGCATCCCAATTGTCGACCTGGTTTTCAAGCAGTTTCGCGGCTAGAGCAGTACGCCTTCCTCCTGAACGTCGCCCTCCGGCGGTTATATGTATTGCTGAAGAAGCGGGGAGTTGTTCCTGCAACGCCAAGTAAGTCCCCAGATTCTCGCCAGGTTTTTGCACTAACAGCGCGTTTTTGCAGCTGCTGCCTCTCCGCGAGAAGCCGGACAGGATCCTTACGGTGACGACATCAATCGCCTGAAGTCTGTTCACCTCGATCGCAAACTGTCAGCCACGGCGCGTGTACCCAGACGTTCGACCATTGTGGAGAGTCCGACAGGCAAGATTGCGCACCCAACAGATTTGAACCATCGTGATGCATCATATTCACGCTCGCCGCAACAGCAGCCACGCCTACAGAAAGCCCCGCAGCATAGCCTACAGAGTACCCGTTCAGCAATGGAGGCGAGCGTTATTCGACCTGCGTTTGCGAGGAACAACACGGAAGTCATGATTGTGGATGAGTCTGCACCAACATCGCCAACTGGGGGTGTCGACGAGTCGAAGCTGCCGGGGGTAGAAGAGGGCATCACTTTGGCGGATATTCCACAGCTTGTGGAAGCAGCGCAGGCGCGCGAGCAGCACCGGTCACTGCCGCGACAGAGCTCAATACCGTTCATTGCGGAGTTGAGTCCTGTGGAACTCGCAATTGTCCGGCACACCGCAGTGTTAGCTCTGCAGCGGTCTCCGCTACGAGATCAGTTTGATTTGGACGAGATTCTCGAGCTCGTCGAAATCAAGAAAAGCTCGTTCTGGAATAAGCTGTTCAAGCAAGGCTCCGACAAAAAGAACGTCAAGAAGAAGGGTGAGTCAATCTACCTTCTATTGAGAACTGATCGCTGACACCCTGCAGGCGTCTTCAGCGTTCCATTAGAGCTGTTAGTCGAGCGCGAAGGGGCGGATTCATTACATGGTGCATCAAGGGCTGCACTGCGGGTGCCTAGCTTCGTGGATGACGTCGTATCGGCCATGCGACAGATGGGTAAATGATCTGAGTTCCGCACTCTCTCATCGTACTCATCACTGCCACTTCAGATATGTCTGTCGAAGGCATCTTCCGGAAGAACGGAAACATCAGACGGCTGAAAGAGCTCACGGATACCATTGATCGTGATCCGTCGTCGGTCGACCTGACACAGGATAACCCTGTACAACTCGCTGCGCTTCTGAAGAAGTTCCTCCGCGAACTCCCCGATCCATTACTGACCTTCAAACTGCATCGATTATTTATTGCCACGCAAAGTGAGTTGGACGAGCTGTCAATGCCAGCTGTTGTGTTGATAGGCTGTAATCAGATCTTCCTACCGAGGCAGAACGGAAGCGGATGCTGCACATGGTGTCGCTCATTCTTCCAAAGCACCACAGAGATACTATGGAGGTGCTGTTCGTATTCCTCAAATGGGTTGCGTCCTTTGCGCATCTGGATGAGGAGACGGGAAGTAAAATGGATCTTCCAAACCTTGCCACAGTGGTCTGTCCCAGCATCCTCTATTCGAGAGGAAGGGACGGCGTCCGTGACGAGAGTTTCGGTGCTATTCGTGTTGTCACCTCTTTGCTCGAGAACCAGGACGAATTCTTCTGCGTTCCCGAGGAGCTCTTACCCATCTTGCATGATCAGGAGTATTTCCAGAGCAGCATGGAACTCCCGAGCAAGGAGTTCCTCAAGAAATGTGATACCTATTACAAGGTGAAGATCATCGGCCGTACACCCGGCTTGACCTCGCCGGTCATGGGTTCCCAGCAGTTCAACTTCAATACTACACGGTCGGATGATTCAAGGTCATTACCTCCACGAGCGGACTCACGGTAAGATATGACGTCTCACTTGACTCATGTTCGGCCTGACCAGTAACCGCAGAACGCTCCAATCAAATCCTCAGTATCCGGAGCGAACGCCAGTTGGGTCACCTTCACCATCTGACCACGCACCACCGCGCAATGGTCTCCAGTCCCGCCAGCAGTCGCCACCGAATATGCAACATTCACCATACTCATACCCGTCAGCATCTGGGCCACAGCCATCACTGTCACAAGGCGTCGCCGCTCTCCAGGTGCCACAGCCGCGCCCTGCTATGGCGAGCTACTCATCGGAGAACGGTAGCAACGAGTGGACGCCGTCGCCAATACCCACGAGCAGGCCGCCGTCGCGCCCGGGTTCATCGTACGTGCCCCCGAGGAGTAGTGGTGAGGGAAGTCATCCGTTCACGTCTAATTCGCACGCCGCGCAGGCTGTACGTCAGCGCGTGTAGTAGCCGTCTACTTTCACGTCTCTTTTCTGGCGGAACTTTGTATATATGATTTTCTACCTCTTGCTGTCAGAACGCGCATCCCCTCGTTTGCATCGCTGCTTCATTCCCCCCCCCCCCCTCTCCCATCTGTACTTGACATAGCCTCCCTCATTTAACCTATTGACCACGGACGAATATCTGCAGTATCTTGATACCCTCATTGTCCAGCTGTTACTCAATCGCATGGCATTGAAAGCCCGTCCTTGTGTGGTGTGCTGTTCGCCAAAGTTGGGCGATTGAGTTATGGCTGGGCGCTCTGTCCTTCTCTCATCCCCCCATCTTCAAACTTCCGCATCAGAATACGGCCTAAGGTCCGCTGTGGACCTGTGGCCGTGGCAGCCAAATTAGCCACCATATATTATTATGCAGCGCGTACCAAAGCAGACGCGTAAAGTAAACCGCTGGAACGCGTATCTTCATAGTCAAGTGCAAGCGTTCAACAAAGGCACGCTTCCCACTACGCCATACTTCTCCGGACACCTTGTTAACTTTGTGTAACTTACAGACCTGAGCCCTACTGAGCCTCGTCCGAGGGTGCACGTCATCGCCAAAGGAATTCGCGAGCGATGGGACGCCATGACCGAGGAGGAGCGCACCGCTGCTACGGCAGATGCCGTCGTCGAGCTGGAGGACATGCGGGAGTCGAAGCAGGCTGCGAGGAAAGGGTCTAAGATCTCGAGTACGCGTGACATTCGTAGCACCATGGACGGTATTGAAACAGAGGTGCGCATTCATCAATGCTTTTTGACAAGATCGCGCGTTACCCATCCATCGCTTGCTACAGCTTTTAGACTTGAACACCCGGACGGGCGCGGAAGTCCTTGTGATACAGATCCGCCCAGAGCCCGAGAACTTTGGCAACAAACCGCGCATACTCATGACGTCTCCTCGGATAGGCGAGTTCTTCCAGCTCGCGGCACAGCACCCTGTGCAGGACTTTGCGGTGAAGCTCCAGGCGTTCTGTGTGGCGGACATACAGCCTCGTACGCAGGCTACACCTAGTCCCTCTGAACCTTCTACACCCACGCCGGCATCCACAGAAACCCCGCCGCCTGCCGCCACTGCCGTCAACATGCAGCAGCGGGTCATTGATATGAAGCGCAGGGTAAAGACTATTATCAACGAGAAGCTTCGTGAGTATCGCCCCGCCCTCTTCCCCCTTCTTTCTGACTAAAGTGGCCATGACAGAGGAATGCGCACACCCCGTCAAGATACCGCGGATCAAGTACGTGGACTTTGAGACGTCGATCTCCGAGCGCCACGGTATCGTCTGCGAGAACTGGCCGCTGCCCAACTTCTGCGCGCCGGGCAGCCTGAACTCGCTCATGGAACTTGAAATCCTGCATCAAGCCTGGAGCACGGGCGTCACGACATTCCGGAAGATGTCGCCGGAAGAACATCAGCAGTTCAAGGAGGCCCGCGTCCAGCGCCGTCTCCAGGCGGCCATCGTTCAAGCGAACGCGGCAGCGCTTGCTGCACAGCAGAACGCCCCTGTTACACAGTCGCTCAGCTCAGGTTCTAGTTTAGCTCCGATACCACAGCCGTTGACTCCAAACGGAACTCCTTCTCCAAACGCTGTCTCAAAATTACCAACCGACACTCAAGAGCCGGTGACCGCCGATTCGTCGCTGACCGCGATGCACCGTTCGAAGCCTGTTCAAAGCTCTGCGTCACAATCGACCCCGCCGACCATGAAGGTCGATGCACAGCTCTCTACGTCTCCTGCGAATCTTTCCACAACACTGCCCGAGCAGCTGCCCGTAGCCTCCTCCTCTACCGTGACGCTCGAGAGCCTGAGCTCTCCAGAAGTCGCGGGCCCGTCGACCTTCGTCTTCTCGACGGGCAAGCGTCCTCCGCCGTCGCAGTTTAACATCCTCGGCCCCATGGGCCTCATGCCGAAGAAGCCACGGAAGAAGCGGGCGGATGCGGGCATGAAGCGTGGGCCGAACAAGCGCACGAAGAGCACACATGCAGACGCTGAGGCGGCGCCGACGAAGGCACCGGCGGAAACAGAGGCACCAGACGAAGAGGAAGGTGCAGAAGAGCAGCAGAGGCAGACACCGACGGATGTCGGCGGCGAGTCTTTAGGAGGGCAAGTGACGTCGCATGCGCACAGCCGGCTGTCCGCCCCGGGTCTCGAGATACAGTATGTTATGCCTGACCCTGGCGGAACGACGTCAGTTTTCCGGGTGCAGGCACAGCCGTCGATGCAGGTACGAGCACCCCTGCCAAACAACCCACCGGCAGAACAGGAAGTGCAAGTGCAGCCTGAAGGGCTCAGTGGGAGTGCCTGAGGTACAGACAATATTCGTACTTATGTATTGTGTTTTGAGCACTTGAATCGCACCTACTAATGTCGTATATTCATGCCTTCGATGGCACTTTTCTATGAAAAACCGCACGTAGTACTGTACAACCTCCTATCCTGCCACTTGCAGTCTAGAATACCGATTTCAGGAATCGCAGCTCGCGAGTCTGCTTACTAAGAGTCCGCGCGAGCGCGGGCGCCTGGTGCGTTCATGCAAGCGCTCTTTGCTCTTGCATTGCTGCCTCGAGAAGTCCACCTTCGCACTGCGCAGTGTGACAGAATATGCATAAGATAATGTAGGAGTGCTTTCGGACGTCTTGTCGCCATTGCCTGCATCGAAAGCGCTTATATTGTACTTCTCCAAACTAGACTTGTCGCCTCTGTAGCCGGTGCCCGAAAATCGTGCACCTGAACCTGACCACCACTTTTGTCGTTACACTGCACGCCCTGGCCCCGCGAGTTACCCTAGTTGGGAACATCCAAACGCAGAAATCGAAGCCATGCATCTCGTCACTGCTTTTGCTTACCGCAGCCTGCTTCGCGCACCATCTCGTGCGTAGGCACCTCGCCTTGCACCTCGTAGGTCTGTGCTACCGACTAGTACAACGATCACTTACATTGTTAACTGCTTTTAGCGATCTCGCCGTCTGCCAATCCGCTCGCTAACGGCTTACTGGCTCTCATATGGCGGCACATGGGGCAGTTCGTGAATATGGATGCCGAAAAGGCCCTGCGAGTCGAATGTGGAGAGCACTTAACTATCTGCCAGAGCAGGCGATCTCTCTGGAGGCCTGGCTGAAAGCGTCCGAGTCTCGATGGCGCAGAGGTAATGGACGAAGACGACGAGATAGTGATGACAGTTAGGCTATGGAGAGGCGTGCCAGGCTGAGAGGGATCGAATTCGTAACCTATGAAAAGAGCTTGTCCGCGAGATGATGTTTGTCTTGCACACAACTCCCTGGTCGCCCGGGCCTCTCCGCCATGAATCCCGCCATGACCGCTTGATATCGTGCCACCGTGGGTGGCGGTGTCGTATTCAGCAACCGGTGATCAGCGCGCGCGCTTAGCGATGACTGTCATCTGCTGGCGGGTTGGCGGACGAGCACTGGTTCAGTGGTTCCATTTCGGCGGCCAACGTTAACGCGAGGCAAAGGCACGTGCGCCGTACGAGTACGACTCGACCATCCCCGTCCTCCGATTGAAGGCCTCGCTGTTGAGCTGCTACCATCTCCCCCTTCATTTTTCTGCCTATCAGCCGTCGTTACCGTCGAGCACGTCACAAAACCCGATATGGAGACTGCACCCGGCGAACAGCCGGCGGAGGGTCCGCAGTCTAAGGTACGCATGCAATATCTAAATCGAGTCTCATGTTGGCGACTCATTTTAACATTTCCCCCCACCAGGATGCTTCAGGTCTTTCCGGCTGGGCGGGAATAGAGGCGACCGTCGTGAAAGACGACGAAGGGAAGATGAAAGGGTATTCTGAAGATATAGACACCCTCCTCGTCTTCGTGAGTCTCCATCCACGCGTTCGCATTTAATCTACCTGACACCCATAAAGGCCGGCCTATTCTCTGCCATCCTCACCGCATTTGTCGTCCAGACGTACCAGATGCTCCAACCGTCGAGCGCGGACTTGACAAACCATCTCCTTACCACGAATAACCAGATGCTCGCTCAAAACAGCCAAATCCTTGTCCAAGGCTTCTCCGCCGTCCTCACGGGATCTCCATTCTCCCCTCCGGAGCTGACGTCTCCTGACGATCCGCCACCATTCCAGCCCTCGACCTCGGCACGGTGGGTCAACACCCTATTCTTCACCAGTCTCGTTCTCAGTCTCGCTGCCGCCCTGCTCGGCATCCTCGTCAAGCAATGGGTGCGCGAGTACATGCAGTGGAACTCGCCTCTCGCAACACCGCGAGAGAACATCATGGTGCGGCAGTTCCGCCTCGAGGCATGGGAGACGTGGAACGTCTCGGCGATTGTCTCGACGGTGCCGGCGCTGCTCGAGGTCGCGATGATTCTCTTCCTCATTGGCATGATCATCCTGCTCTGGATCTTGGATGACGTCGTGGCAATTTGTTTGACGGCTGCGACAGCGATGTTCCTGCTCGTGGTCGCCGTCTTCACTGTCCTTCCTGTATTCTCACGCCGATGCCCGTACAAGTCTCCGACGGCATGGGCGGTCATGGCAGCTTGTGAAATTCTATCGCATTCGTCGTCCTTCTGTTGAAGTGGGGCAGATCGTACACTGCTCTGCTGCAGCTTCGATGGCCTAGGTTCATTCGGGGTAAGCCATGCAAGTGTCTAGCATATCATCCGCAGTCTAATGCCCTCTATCAGCGCACAATCGGCACTTGCACCGCGCTGGGTCGTATATCAAAATACCCCGCGACTTTATTCAGATAATCTTACTTGGTGAACAAGACGATGAATCGGAACAGCATGAACATGTCGAATGGAAACGACTGCCGCTCAGCTGGCGCGACGTCGACCTGAGTAGCTGCAAAACCATGGTTCCGCGCTTTGGGTCTTGGCAGCTGAAGTATGAAACCATGCATGCCACGGCAGCAGAAGCTCTTTCGGTCGAAGCTTTAGATGGCTCGGAGCAAAACGTTACTATGAACGAGCTGTTTATTGAAGTCAAGGAGACTGTTCTACTCCAGCAAGCGCTGTCCTGGGTGGCAAAGTCGTCGCAGAACTCTCATGTGATCATGTACGTCAACCAATGCCACGACGAGGAGCAACGTCTACACGAGCACACCTTGAATTTATTCCTTCGTGCGGCCGCTCGAGAGTTCCGAGACGGATTTCTCTCGCGAATACCAGCCTCTGAAGTGCGACGGTTCCTCCTCCAGCTTGCCCTTGATCATTCCAAGCACTATAACACCTCTGCAATGTTGCACAGAGCATACGTAGATGCTCTACAGGACTGCAGGATTATACCATCTGTGGCTGACCGACGCCTGGGTAAGCACGTGTCTAGCACAGAGTGTGTGTTTGCTAACATGTCAGGAATGTTTCCCCAGTGTTAGAGCAGGGATTCACCACAGCTGCTGACTGTGAGCTGCTTCTGATGAGCTATTTCCCATCTGAGTTTACACATGCCGATCCAAACCTCCTCAAAATGTTTATTACCACAGCAACGAGGTGGCTCCGTCGCTGCGATATGCGACTGGCATCTGGAGAGGTTGTGGTTGGCATACTGGAGAAAATGGTCAAGGTAGCAGATGTCTTGTCTGAGGAGTCCGCCGCACCGCTTGACACCATGTCGCAGGGGAGCGATGACGTTGAGGTCCGAGTTGATCATCAGGAGTGGATCCGGAAACTGAACTGGGAGAGAACAACGCTGACGGAACAATATGGCGCACTCTACAGGCGACTCTTGCATGCGCTTGAGAAGGCGTACAAGTGTAATAAGCTCTGCGGCGACCAGAAAAGGATCCGGGAACTGCTACACGACGTGCTCGAGGTGTCGCACAACGAGTGCGGGCCCATATGCGAGGTCGATGGCTGCCCCTGGATTGGACACGACGAGCCGTTCAACCTCCCCTTCCATGACGAGTGCGATCTGCTCTCAAAGAGCACCGCCGCGGGCGCGCACGGTGGGGAACGGCTGTCCGAATCGGAACCGTTGTCGTCCTCCGGGCCGCAGTCGTCATCGTCATCCCAACCTGTTGTTTCATCCGACTCACCAGAAGGCCTCGCACACGCCGAACCGCATCGCACAGTGTCACACGAAGGTCTTCCAACGCCGGCCATCAACACGTCTGAACACTGGAGTTCGCGGTGTTCGTTTCTGGCCACCGAGCACAACACGCGACGTCATGCGATGGGAAGGGTAAGGGAAGCAAGGTCAATGGATGAACTGACAAGACCAGGGGTGACACGGCTAGAACCGGGACGGCAGAGCTCCTGGGGTTGAAAATACGGACTTAGGTCGAGTGTGTATATTTCATCGGCATATACAGTAGTGAATTATATGGGTATACCTGCTGTTCGCAGGTTTAACAATGATGGCACAAGGCGATAGGTAGCTTGTGACCGATAAAATACACTTCGTCATCATTCACATTCACATACGTCCAGATCACAGTATGCTCAGCGTCCTACGTTTCGCCTTCGCAAGTCAAATAGCATGTACCCCGTCTCAAACACCTCAAGCCTCCCTGAGTGTTTCGTGTCGGCCTCCGAGGCTGCGCCCCAATTCGAATGACATCCAATAGCATGACAGCAGCCCGGGCATTGCTTGCACCAAGGGTGTCAGGGTCATAATGCGATCAAGTACAGAGCATAGGAGGACGAGCTGAAGCAAGATTCGTCCTGTTAGCATAGCAACGAGCGGGCGTAATGCGTCAACGTACAGTCTCGACCCAGCGAGCTCAGCTGCGACCCCCGGACCATAATGTAAATCGAAGATAGACGCGATTGTCGAGGAAATCGGAACTCACGGGCGGGGGTACGGGGATCTGAAACGTTCTGGCACCAGCAGCGAGACAGCTACCTTCAAGGGCTGAGCAACCCGTCCGTGCAGGTGGCACAACTACCTCAAGATGGTCATCAGGTACGTAGCTTTTCTTCTGCGCTCGATTCCTAGGCTAATCGTATTACTAAGCTACAGTCAAGATACTAGTCCTTATCCAAATATTACGAGCATAAGTCTTCCTAAGCCTGGCCAAGAGCCACCATGAGCCAAAACAGAATCGCACTCTCCGCAAACTCAGTTGGTGGTGGCATTGGTAAATCGTGTCGTTGCCAATCCCACCCGGGAGTTCTCGGCATCGAAGGCTAAGAAGAACCTCTCCAAAAAGACTTGGCCGTTAAGGAAGCTGAGGCCTTCCGAGCCCGAGCCCGAGCCACTGTCTCCGATAACAAGATAGATCATGTTCGCGACGCCATTAATGGCGGCGTTCAACTGTAACAGCGCAAGTTAGTGGGTTCTACAGAGGATGAAGACTGGCGACGTACGCCACGAGGCCAGATTTGCGCGTTTGAGTTAAACTCGAAGGTGCACTGAAATGACGTTAAGTCGGGCGTAAGGACGATTCTAGAGATTGAAGACGTACGCCACCGATGGTAAAGAACAAGCTCTGCAAGTTGTCGTATTGCGCAGGGGTGATGGTCAGTAGGCCCGTGCTCTCATCGAGCACCGCACCCGTGAGCTGCTGGTACATATTGAAGGCATCTGTCCATAGCACTCACTACCTGCACGACCTTACCGAGACGAAGCGGCTTACCAGTGGCTAGAAGGATGAGGGTGGTACCAGTGTCCATGATACCAGCGCTATTATTGAGGATGGGTGTGTTCCCGTAAGCGATGGACTGGTTGACACCAATGGACATGTTGGCAGGAAAAGTGGAAGTAATATTTCTGAAGGCGGTAATTCGGGCATTGTGCGAATACGCGACAGACGAAAGAGGGACACTTACACAAAGTGAATATCACTAGTCAACTTGCTCCGGTCGATGCTACCGAAGGTGATCTCTCCGGTCGTAACTGACTCGTTGTTCGTCGGCTTCAAGAAAATGCCTATCTTCTTTTCGTCGATGAGGCCCTGAGCAAACGCATTGTCCAAGAGCGTAGGTACCAGTTCGCCGATCTCGATGGTATCTGTGCCGTATGAGCAAACAGCTGAAATAGATGTATGTGAAAGCTAACCCGAGGTAAGGTCTGTTGGCCCAATACTGCCGGTAAAATAAGATGATGTCCTTCAGCGCGAAGCGTGTAATTTCACTTACCCCATAACGCCGTCTGTAGTATTGCTGAAGCCCAGGGCAAACCCGGCAACACCGATAGATTGATTTTGGATCAACAAGCCTTCGGCAAGGCTCACTTGGTCAATGAACTCCTCCCCTGAGATATCCGATGCTTAGTAGAGTGCAATGTTTGCTCGAACAGTGGAGTTCACCTTCAAAAAGGCCAGTGCCATATTCAACAAACTGGATTACGGGATCAGCATCATGACATATAGCTGAGCCTCCCACGTACTACTTCCATGCCGGTATCGTGAGAGGTAGATGTCGGCGTGTAAGGATTTCCAGGATTGCCGCCAACCCAGGTGTTGGAACTGCCGGTGTCCACAATAAGGCTGACTGAACAACCATACAGTGGGCTTCAAGCATAACTCCGCAAGGTTGCACTACCGCTTACAATTAGTTGGGGGATAACCGACTTGAACCTGATGGCACAGACATGAGCATGGAGCGTCCAATCCAGAGCAAAGATATAGGCTAACCTCCGCAAAATAAGAGATAATCCCGTTCGTAACCGGGATGGAAGCGGCGGTGTCGGAAGATGCTGACTTGGGGCCCTTCCGTGTAGCACTCTGCTTGAGGAACTCCATTCTCATTTGGTCGAGCTCCAGAACCGTCCTGGACCCGGTTGAATTGAGATGACGGGCAAGCGATATCGTCATCGGGGGGCTGCGAACGGTCAATGGGGTCGCTCCCGCGAAGAGAGCGAGATAAACTGCGACGAAGAGTTGAGAGAACATTTGTGCTGCTGGCGAATGAAAAATTTGGCCTGAATTGAGGCAAGCAGGTCGGTATTCATACCCTGATCATCAGCGGACACGCCGGCTACAGTGAGACAAATCGAATTTTAAGACAGGCAGGACTTTTGCAGGGCATGAAACTCACCCAGCCGCCTCAAGACTAAACTCACAAAACGCTGTGCTGCGACACGTCACGACGGCAGATGATAATTGGAACGTTCAACGTCTTCACAAAACTGTCTGACTTCGCAGCCAGCGCCCAGCGCTGTTACGGATAGGCGTCGCAGGGGCAGGGCAGTATCGTCATCCCAGTCTGCGCATATCTGGTACAATTTCGCACGCCGATCTTCTTGGTTCAACGAGCAGCACCTTGCATAGACCGTCCGGGCGGCGAATGGGAGTGGAACCGGCGCATGCAGCTCCTCGTAGAGTCGCCTCGAGAATTCCTCAAGAGCTTTCAGACGATGGATACAACGTGTATCTGAATACGTGAGAATTTGAGCGAGGGCCCGGTTTTGTGCGATCACTGACCTAACTCGTGCTCGGATTTTCCGCTGTCAGGCAGATCCTCGTTGCCTGTTCATCTTCCTCTTCGGTACTCGTGGCCGCCCTCCTTCGACACCCTTATCCCCTCCAATATGGCTTCAAGCGCACGAGCAGCCTTGAAGATCGCCGTAAAGGCGCCATCAAGGGTACGGTAATGATCCGTGAGTCAAGATATCATTTATTGTGTCGATAGCTGTTAGAACATACTTTCTGGCAGTGAGCATTCATGCTGATTTTCAGTGATGCATATATATTGGGCTCTGTGAAGAAGCGAGTCACTTGGAGCTTCTGCTTCTGGTTCCCCGCGCGCACTGCAGCGCTCACTAGGTCCGAAATTCGCTGCTGGGAGGCGGGAAATGGAGAGCAGTGCTGCACGCGCGCTTGGTGGCGCCAGTAAGGCGAAACGTTGCTCGCATTGAGACGTGTACGACAACGGTCGATACCTAGGTAGCGAGGTATAGCATCAGCGAATTTGATGTGCCAGTCTAAGAGGCGCAGGATGGTGGAAGCGCACCGCAACGACAGGTGTATCAGCCTTGCCAAACACACTCAAGAGTCAAGAAGATGTCGGGCACGATGCATGGTAGGGCCGCCGGCCGGGCCGGCACTGAAGCTGATCGCAGGGTCCCGATGATGGCGCTTGCCTGATGCAGCGCTATGCAGCGGCGTGCTCAAACGACGCAGTTGATTCTCGACTCCAGCTGTCTCAACCGTGCAAGCTCGTCATCACCCCTGCGTAAGGCGCAATGGGCTTTGTGGCGTACGATTGTCTGAGCGGAAGCATAATCGTCCTTCAAATTCCGCGTCGCTTCCAACTGTTCCCGAGCAGCTTGGGATGGGCGACTTGACTGTACGATACTGCTCTCACTAGCTGTGAGGTCTTCACATCGACAGTTCGCAAGGTGAGTGTAACGTATGCTGGCCTTCTATTGATGTACTGACATCCATCGCCATTAGAATGCTCGGATGTCAGTGCAGACCGGTGGCACATACCTATCCACTTGAGGGAGCTGCTTTGTCTGTGCATCTCGTAAGTCCTGTTATGATACTCGGTGTTGCACACCGGCACACGACGTGATTCCTATCACGAGGCGGGATGCTCTATAATCATTTCACTGCCGACTCCCGATTGGAAACACCCAGAGCAGCTCTCTTGCGCCAAGAACCGCTAGTAAGCCTTTAGCTGACAGACAGCTGAGAAATCTTACAGGGTCGGCAGCCGCGGGCATTGAAATGCAAAAGCGGGGGCGACAATCAAAGTTTGCAGTGCATGGGCAGGGTTCCGACGCGCCACGTCGCCGTCTCCGAGGCCGCATTGTACAGCCCGAAGGCGCCACAGACACCTCCCTCTCGCCCCAGAGACTCGCGCGTGCAACATCTCAGGATACACGAGGATGAATGTCGTGCGGCGGGTGAATAGCTGCGTTCGCTGACACCACTGCGACGGTCAGCTGTTCATGTGTTCTTTCACAGTAATTCTCCCTATCTGATCTTGTAGCCAGCAGGTAACAAGCGAGCTTAGACTCCGGGAAAAGACGCCTCGCTTGGGAAAGATGCTTACAAGATCAACGCTTACAGAGCAGACCGGCAGATCCTTGATCTTCCCAAGGGCACTAACGGGGTACGTATATTCATTGACGCTCCCAAACTGCAGGATGTATATAAGGATCCGCCGACTCAGTGCAGAGACTTCAGCAGCCTTCTTCATATCCGCGAAGCCTTCTCGTCTACATCTCTTTCACCGTTTCGCACACCAACCATGTCTCATGGCAAGCAGTTCACTTTGTTCTCCCACACGGGTGGTCCGAACGGATGGTATGTATCCTCATTTTTGTACTTGAGGTGACGCAGCGCTGACCGCATTTTCCTACTCACAGGAAAGTCGCCTTCATCCTTGAGGAGCTTGGCCTGACCTACGAGTCTATTTACTTCGACTTCAAGAAGAACGAGCACAAAGCTCCGGAGTTCACTAAGTACAACCCTAACGGTCGCATCCCCGCGGTCATAGACCACAGGAACAACGATTTCGTGGTCTGGTAGGTATCCTTAACTCGTCTACGCACTTCATCGAACTAACATACACAACAGGGAGTCCAACGCAATCATTCAGTACGTCGTCGACAAGTACGACAAGGAGCACAAACTCTCAATTGCGCCGGGCACGGACGAATACTACACCCAGCTCCAATGGTTGTACTTCCAGGCTTCTGGCCAGGGTCCGTACTTCGGCCAGGTCGGCTGGTTCAACTTATACCACCCGGAGAAGGTCCCGAGCGCGGTGGAGCGGTATCGGAACGAGACCAAGCGTGTGCTCGGCGTGCTCGAGAGCGTGCTGTTAAAGCAAGAGTGGCTTGTCGGCGGTAGGCTGACCGTCGCGGACATCTCCTTCATCCCGTAAGTACATGCCGCTCTCTGAGGAAACGCAATTTCGCTTACAATCCACGTGTTCTATAGATGGAATATCTTCGCCACGACGCTCCTCCTCGAGGGTTTCGACTTGGAGAAAGAGTTCCCTGCCACCGCTAAGTGGCACAACAAGCTCCTTGCGCGCCCGGCCGTCAAGAATCTCTGGGAGGAGCGTGAGAGGCTGCTCGCTCAGCAGTAAACCGAGTGCAGAACCGTGTAGGGTTGTGCTTTGACTTTAGCACAATAGCTTTTGAGACCTATTTCTCCTTCACCCAGACTATCATGAAACGACGACGATCTGGCAGTGGGACGTTGGACGTGGCTAGCAATTGCAAGCAACTGGGTGTAGTAATAGCTATCAATTGGAATATTTCTGGTCTCGAGGCCTATTCGATCCGTCCTTGAGCTTTACTTTCCAATGAGCCTTGACAATCACGAGTGCCATCGTTTCCAGCTGCTATCAAACCAATTACCAACTATGCATGGCGTCGGTTTCGTCGAGCATGAGGAAGCAAAACTGCCCGCCACAGCGGGCCTGTTTTGCTCAGATGCGGTTTTAAACAGGGTAATATCCAAGTATGGATTACTACTCTTATTCAATAAGGTTATCTCCGTGATCTCCGTACTATTTGCCTAGATTGAAATTATCTCGGCAAGCCCGTCGATCTTGTCACTCCGCCATCCTTCTCAGTAGCACTAGGTGGTAGGTGCAGTTTTTTTGCTTGCATAACTAGCCAAAAGCTAGGCGAACAAGAACCTGTGTTTAACCGGTTTTCATTCGAGATAATTTGGAGACAAACCTTCCTTTTCCGCTAGTTTTGTCAGCCTCTTTTGGCCGGTTTCGCACCAATTTACGCACTAATTTACCCCAATGTACAACCGGGGAACAATTGGTTCTTGTTTTCCCAATTTTGGCCGGGTTTCTTCAAGAAAAAAACCGTGCTTACCACCCTGTGTAGGGCGCGTGGACGAGTGAAATTGTGCGATTGTCGGCCTGGCAGGCCTGCCACCGCCGATGCAGATGATCGAATTCTAGAGGGCTTCTGACCGAGTCGTTGGGGTCCTTCAAGTTTGGTAAGCTGTTCAATTGACTGCCAAGGGGCTGATAAAGCTCGTAGGGTCGGCGGCCGACGCGGATGTCGAACACTCTTGCCATGGCGGCAATGCAGTATATTAGAGATGGAAGCGACAAAGTTGTAGCGCGTCGGCAGGGTCCCGACGCGTCACGCTCTCGAACCGCATTTTGCGAGCATACGACCACATTGCGCAACATTCCTGGGAGAGACGTCTACAAGACAAGCGCTTACAGAGCAGGTCAGCCGATTCCCGATCCTTCCGGGAGCCTTGGAAAGCCATGTACGCTCATCGATGTTCCCAGGTCCTCAGAACGTATTGAAAGGCCCATACGCCAGCATAAAGACTGCAGCGGCTCGTCCCACATCCTCCAAACCTCATCGCCTACGTCTCCCTCGCTTTTTACGATTTACTAGTCATGTCCCATAGCAACCAGTTCACTCTCTTTTCTCATATAGGTGGCCACAACGGATGGTACACATTTTTGTCTCCAAGCTCAAGGATGTAATGCTGACTGCGTTAGTATGTCCAACGCAGGAAGGTCGCCTTCGTCCTTGAGGAGCTCCAATTGACCTATCAGTCCGTGTACCTCAACTTCCGGAAGAACGAGCAAAAAGCTCCCGAGTTCACCAAGTACAACCCTAATGGCCGTATCCCCGCAATTATCGACCACAGCAACAACGATTTCGTGGTCTGGTATGTCCCTCTCACCTGCTCACGTAGTCTGCTTCGGCAACCCATGTGCTTTAGGGAATCCAATGCCATCATCCAATATATCATCGACAAGTACGATAAGGAGCACAAACTCTCAATCGCACCGGGCACGGACGAGTACTACACGCAGCTTCAATGGTTGTACTTCCAAGCTTCTGGCCAGGGCCCGTACTTCGGCCAGGCGGTCTGGTTTAGCGTAGCCCACCCAGAGAAGGTCGCGAGTGCTCTTGAACGGTACCAAAAGGAAATTAAGCGTGTGTTGGGCGTGCTCGAGAGTGTGCTCTCAAAACAGGAGTGGCTTGTCGGCGGCAGGATGACCGTCGCTGACATTTCCTTCGTCCGGTAAGTGCGTGGTGCTCGCTAATAAGACTTCGATCACCCACACGCACGTGTTGCAGGTGGAACATCGACGCCGCGACGCGCCTCCTGGAGAACTTTGATTTTGAGAAGGAGTTTCCTGCCACCGCCAAGTGGCACAACAAGCTCCTCGAACGGCCCGCCATTAAGAAGGTCTGGGAGGAGCGTGCCAGGTTGGTCGCTCAGCAGCAGTAAGTCGGATATGAGACCGCACAAGTCGCTCTGTCAGACTGAGATATCCAAT